GAGGTCTAGATTATCAATATTCACTTATATTTTCGAAATTCTATATGTAATATTGTTCTTGAGAACCTTTTTCTATCTTTGAGCTCAATATCTTCTTGTACTTCTATATCTTTATCCAGTGGACCATCTAATTTCTTTTCTTTCTCTTATGGCCAGACTAAAGTCATTGCAACCACTACATAATCTATTCCTGGTCTCTTGTGAGAATCCTTGTGTAATAAGTAGGAACAAGAATCACCTTAGACCATGTAATCATGCACTATATCTCACGGTTTATTTTCCCCACATAAGACCCATTTGTCCACTAGTTTATATCATCATATGGTGTTTCTATATATATGGCCAATACGCCTATCTCTTATATAATCCCACGTTTTCATCTATGAATGCATTCTCATATTAATGTGGATTATGATCCTCGCTTATGTCTTTAAATTCAAATGCTAGCTTTTTGCGCATCCTTATACAAATATATCATTTGTGTGTCGACACTCTTATGTAGTTCCATTGTGTTCCAGACATGATCTAATTGATTTGAGATTATTATCTAGGACCTTTATTACCTAGCAGCTCGGCGTCCCAAGCTACATGGTTTGGTACCTTAGATGTTCAGCTGGCCAGCCTTATTTCCATGTCTGGTCTGGTTTCCTTTATGACCTCGGACCTGTTTGTCATTCTATGCACCTTTCTCTTTTCTTTCTGAGGTTCCTTATCTTATGGAACTTATTAGTCTATATTTAATAGACTCTGTTTCAACTTGATTATGTCTCTCTAGGACATCAAACTCGTGGTGCTAAGCTGGTATGACATGGCCATTCTTTTCTTTTCTTTTCGGGTCAATGTGTCAGGCATCTGGTTCTGCTAGATTTGCATCATCTCTTTAATATCATATGGACGTCTTAAATCATATTCTCTAGTCCAAAGATCTTGTCAAGACAATGATGGTTAATACCATTCTATTTCATTTATCATTCTTTTACTCTTTTATCATTTTTTTACCAGCTTATTACTTTCTCTTTTTAATGTTGGATAGTCGGATTCTTTGACTCATGCAATCCGTGTACCTGGCCTCAATCTGATCACCCATATTTGGCTCAAGGTCTCTTAAAACTCGTGGAAGAAAGACATACTTATATCCAACATATATTCTCAATCCTCTTCTGAGGTTCCATCTTAGACGGCACATATGTATGTGGTGGTTTATTTCAAAATCTCTCAAGATGGTATATGTCTGGCTCATGACCCGTATTCAACTTGAGATGAAAATATCTATGCTTACTTATATGGCCTGATGCATATTAACCTTATATACATGTAAATTCATGATGTCCCTAAGCTTTAGGCTGGACGTGGATTATGAGTTTTATAAAAAGGGTCCAGCCAAGCCGTTTATAGCATAGTCATAAACCATGGTACACGAATTTGTAGTATGTCATGGACCACGGGTTTGTCCTCACTCCCCCTCATGAACATACTATAATTTCGTGATGCTTGGGACAATAAAGCCTAATGAGTTTCCCTTCTGTACCTCTTACATGACGTGAGATCCTATGGGATAACTCTGTGTGCCATTTGCAATATCAATCTTTGCATCAAATTTAGACTAAGATGGCTAATCCAGTCATGCCATAAAGTGTATAATTTTGTGGGGTATACCAATCTGGTTACCATGGTTCTTTCCTCTTATCATACTGATCTTTGGCATAGTCTAGATCAATAGAAAATTCAGGTATAGTCTCGACCACTTATCTTATGGCATTAGGCGATTTTTCTTTATATAATCTGAAGGAACTTTTATTTTCTTTGCCCATTGTTTCTATATGGAAACCATTCTTATATATTTATCTCTTATATCTCAATAAGCTTCTCTGGGTGAGTATAAATCATGCCCATTAGTAAATGATACAATGCCCTAGCCGTGTACCCTTTATTGGACTTTAATTACAAACTCAAATTGGTGTTTTTATTAACAAAAATCATTCAACTTATTAAGTAAAATCATACAAGATAATAGCAATAAACTCAAAGAGACACTATTATTATTAAAATTGTAAATAGCAAAGCTAACAAAGCAAAATCAAAACACGAAAACATAGAATCAAGCGATGTCGAATTTTAGTCTTTTAGACAATCTGAAGTCTCATAATCTGGTTGACCTCATTCCCATGGTCTTGGTCGAAATCACCATTATCATCTTGGACCATATGGGCTTCAGGGTTCTTGCCTTTTAGATTCTCTTGATAGAGATCACATAAGTTTTAGGAGTTATGCATGTCTTAGCCCAATGATTCCCTATTCCACATCTGTGGCAAAGTGATTTGGTTAAGTGATTGGTCGAGTAAGATGGCTTAGATATTCCACCTCGACTGCGGCTGTAACCGCCTCGTCCACGGCCATGACTGGGACCACGACCACGGTTATTGTGGTTCCCTTTTCCACGGCCGTACGAGTTATAAGAACCTCGACCACCACGTCCTTTCCATCCACCACGGCCTCGACCGTGTGGTCTATTATCATAGACGTGGTTGCTTTCTTTGGAGTCTTTATTTTCTTCTTCAGCCTTATTGGCTCCTGGTAATGGGGCTGATCCAGGAGTTCTCATCTCACTATTCCTCATCAATAACTCATTATTAGTCTCGGCCAGAAGTAGGACCGAGATCAGATCAGTGTATGTGGTGAATCCTCTTTCTCTATACTGCTGTTGCAGCAAGACATTGCTGGAATGGAATGTAGAGAATGTCTTTTCTAGTAACTCTTTCTCGGTTACTTCTTCACCACATCTCATATTTGAGACAATTTTAAACAATACTGAATTGTATTCATCCACGGACTTATAGTCATGGAATCTTAGATTTCTCCACTTATATCTAGCCTTTGGTAATAGCACCGTTTTCTGGTGATCATATCTCCAGCTAGTGGGTTCTCCATTGTAAGATACTGATCTTTAAGACCTTCTGCAAGATGGTGACGAATGATACTTATTGTCTGCTATCTATTTTCATCATTCTCTTTATTCTCCTCGATGATAGTATCACCGAGTCCCTTTGACCTCAGGAAAATCTTAGTATCCAATGCCCACTATAAATAATTCTCTCAAAGAGATTAAGGGCAGCATAGTCAAGATTGCATATTTTCGACATCTGAATCAAATATCAATCATATTTAGGGTTTCATAATGCATAAATCAATCAATACAATTGGATATCAATGGATTATCATACACTACAATTGGATTTTATTAAACATGAATCTTAACTTAAAAACAGCTTTAATATGACCATGGTGCAATCAAACAACCTAAGGTTTCGAGTTCTATATGTAATAAGGTTATAAGGCCACACGACCATGACATATGATGCAATCAATTCCGGATAAATCATATGCAAGCAAAGAACTTTAGAAATCAGTAACCAAAATCGGATTAGGTCTAGGGTTTGCAAATTTAGGGTTTATCAATAATAGACAATTCTATCAATAGGTTTAGGGTTTACCAATGCAAGTAAAACAATAACTAGCCGGATTAGGTTTCAGGGTTTTACTAATGCAAGCAAACAATCCGGATTAGGGTTTAACAAAATTAGGGTTAGCAATATGTGCCTAGGATTTCTAGGATTTTCAAATTAGAGTTTAATTTATAACAATTAAACATTCTTTAGCTACTGATTTTTTAAAACCTCAAAACAATTCATAAATCTAGCAATCAGATTTAGCAATAGATGATTTAGGGTTTTCAAGGTCCTTTTAGGGTTTCAGATTTAAAATTAGGTTAAACATAAAATCTATCAACCTAAACATCAAAACATCAAGAAAAATCAATCAACAATCAGCAATCAATCAATCAGATTTATGAATTAGGGTTTTAAACAATCCTAATCACGTGGGTTTTAAGTTTTATGTAAACCTCAAAGAATCAATCAAACATTATTGGTTCCGACTAACAACCTAAAACAAAGCATTCAACCTAGCAATTCTATTCGCCAAATTAGGGTTTCTTATTAGGGTTTTAGGTTTTAGGGATTTGATTGAAGTACCTTAGGTTTTGTAGATGTAGAAACCAGACCACCAAGAGAGATGAAGAATTTGAGCTGAACCGCATCGGATTAGGGTTCTTCGGATTGTGGTCGGGATGAGTGCTTTTTGTGATTGAGATTTATCGGGTTCTGCAGGAACTCAATTTGTTGCAGGCGGCTGGTCGGAGCTTGAAGGTGATCGCAAGCTAGGGTTCTTGGCCGAAAAAAGGAAAGACTAAAGGAGGCTTGGTCTGGTGCTCGTCGAGAAAAGGAAAAAATCTAGGGCTTTCGCGAATCAAAAAGGAAAGAGGAGCCGCGGTGGAGCTGGATTAGCGCCGGCGAGTTCTAGGGTTTCTTGGTCGGATTCTAGCTTTAGAGTTAGAGATAATTCGTGCTGATAACGTGTTATAAATCAGAGAGAATTGTAGAGGGAAATGCTTGTGTATTATTAATGATCATAAGGGTTTTTTTATATAAGGATTACAAGATAATGATAAATGGAAAGTATCCAAATCCTAATACAACAAGGATTAGGAAAACTACTAATACAAGGAAAAGGTAAAACCGCCTAATCTATGTATGACCGATTGGGCTTTGTCTAAGCTATGGTTATGGCCCATCCATAATAAGCATTATAACAGCATGGTTAATATTTATCTCAACTACATATATTTAACCAAACTGTGTCTTTAACTATATTATATTACGTAAAAACTCAAAAATCACGTTCCATCAGAGCTGGCCATGAGGCATGCTAAATGAAACATTCGCTACAGGTTCCCAAAAATTTTGAAGAAAATTACATAACTATAGACCCCAATAAAAAATTTTAGCCTCCCAACAATTTTTTTTTACATAGAAATAGCAACAGGCCCTTAAAATCCCAGGGCCTGCTCTGCTTTCCATCGCTTAGTTAGTGTGTGTGTGTGTATAAGAAGAGAAGGATCCAACCAAACTGTTAACTAAAAATTCTGTTTCAAGTTTACTTCCATGGCACGTCTTACTCTGTTTCTGTCCTTTTTCTCCATAATATATTTGATCTCTGCCGTGAACTGTCGTGTTTTAAGTTCTTTTTCTGAGAAGAAATCCATCTTTGCTTCCGATGGAACTCAAGACGGATCCAGCTATGAGTATCTTACTCTCGATCCGCCAAATCACGTTTCCAAGAACGCTTGTGTTCATGTCTACGGGTTTCTGCCATGTGCAGACAATGTTGCAGGATATGTCTTCCAAGTTTTCTCCTTTGGTTGTCTATTGATTATCGGTGAAAACTTCTTGTCTGAAGGAAGGACTAAGCTCTTTGTCATCTTCGAGGTCGGTTTTTACGGCGGAATTGTGTTCCCTCTCCTTACAATGTTCACAAGAATAGCTCTTATTCTCTGTAAGAAGAAGTCATTTTCTTCTTAAGATTTTCAAATAATTTTTGTTTTAAATATGATGTAAACTTAGGCCTTTTTTTTTGGTTTTGATCTCAGCGTCTGGACTAACGGGAAGCCGTGAGATTGCAAACTCAATGGTGGATAATAACGTTGGAGTTACTGTAGCATACACTGTCTTTGCTTTGACTATGCAGTGGGGAGCTTGTGTTGTCTTTGGTTTGTCTGGTATAGGATCAGACCAGTCCATGAGAAAAGGAGAAGTCCAGAGAATCACTTCTGTAAGATCTTCTTCTTCTTCTTGAGCCTATTGATTCATGATATGACTTTTAAGACATTCCATACAGGACACAATGATTCCAAGAGGACAACACATAAAGAAGATCGTCGCTGGTATGTTTTAAATCTCCTGATTCTTTCTTTTCTTTAGAAATTGTTTTTTCTTTTTTTGGTCAAATAGAAAATATTATTTTGGTTTCTATTTTTGCGGTTTTTCCATGCAGAAGCTAGCGTAAAAGCAGATCCTAAGAACAAGAGAGCAGCAGGGATCATGCTCCTGACTTTGTTGCCTTTCGCCATGGTCACACTTTCAGAGATGTTTGATTCTAAATCTTGGAAAGATCGTATAGTTTTGATAACCCTAATAATCTCTGGTTCTGCAACTGTTGTCTACTTTCTTTATTCGGTATATACCATGAGCAACGTTCCAAGATCCATATGTATGATAAATTATATTTTTTTGTGCCAAGTCTAACACGCTTTTTCTGCAGTATTTTGATAGAGCAGACCAAGAGAAGAGCTTAGATCACGCAAGGTTTGAGCTAATGTCAGAAGTACATAAGCATTTGCAGCATTTTTCACCTCAAAGCTTTATAAAAAATGGACAGCTAAGTAAAGAAAGCTTACAAAGGTTTTATTCCAATCTTAAGCATCTTCCACTAATTTTAATTTGATAATTAGTCTTGAGATGGAAATTTACTGGTTACTCTGCAGATTGTTTGAGAAAATAGATGTAAATAAAGATGGAAAGATCCAAGTGTCAGAGCTTAAAGATCTCACTGTGGAGTTTGGGATGTTAGGAAGAATGAAATGTGACATACATGAGCTTGCTACGACATTGCTTGCTGATTTCGATAGCGATAGTGATGGTGAAATAGATGAGAATGAATTCGAGAAAGGGATCTCAAAATGGCTCAAACAGTACAAGTTTAGTTTTGATAGCACCGAGTGTCAAAGAGATAACCGAGCTGTAAGTACATCACTGCTTTCTAAATTCATGTTTAACCTGTTTTATCAGATCTAATAAAACTGAAGAAGTGTTAATTTCAGGAGGATAGAGTTTTGAAGATGGAACAACCAAAAGAAAGTCTTGTTGCTAAGCTGCTATCGCAGAGAACCATAAGAGCTTCCATTGAAGTTATTGTAGGGATTCTAATTGTCCTCTTTCTCGCAACGCCTTTCATGATGAACATCGAGCTTTTGTCTAAATCGGCTGGAGTTCCTTCCTTCTATGTTGTCTTTGTAGTGATCCCTTTGGCGAGAAACCTAAGAAACGCTTTGTCTGCTCACTTCTGTCGCAAGAAAGACAAGGCTAGAGTCACATCAGATACATTCTCTGAGGTTAGTTTCATCCAAAATCCATTTATTACTAACTAGTAATTAAATCTGTAACGCCTACGGTTAATGGGTGTCGGCCTTCCAACATACACCACACCGTATACTAGAAATCGGGATGTTATAAATTGATTCGTAGTGTGGTTTGTTATTGTAGATATACAAGGATGTTACGATGAACAATCTTCTGGGAATTTCGATTATATTGGCTATTGTGTACACGAGAGGATTGACTTGGGACTACTCTACTGAAGTTCTCATTAT